ATTGTGTTCACAATGTATAATGGATAGATAAAATATATTTCAATATGTATTAATCTAGTACTGAATTAAACATTAATTAAATTACTAAGATTATTTAAAGTTATGATCTATATTTTATCTCAACATAAAGCTATGGCTACTGGTGAGTGTAATTAATTTGATGGTTTATAAGCATAAAGTTCTCCAGGATTGTTGCAAATTCCCTATGTGAAAATTTGCATTTGTATTTCAAGTTAGCTTGAAAAAAATGGAAAAAAAATATAAAGTTGTTTTCCATCAAAATATTGAATAATCTGTATTCCATAAGTTTTACTTACATATAAAATACTATTCTCACTGCTTTGAATGTGAAAATGAATGCAAAAATAAAATAAAAATAGGCTTTGTAAACTTGCTCACTTGTGATTAACAGCTCTGAGGAAATCTACCGACTTTCTAACACTAAGAACATAGTTTGGTTTCTCCAGGGGTGTAAATCTGCAGAGCTCTATTAAATTTAACAGTATTCATTGGATTTTCAATTGTTTTTGGAGGACGGCCAAGTGCTGGCAGATAATCTGATTAGTATAGATGTTCCTACCTGTAAAATCTTTCACTTTTTAAAGATACGGATAGCTTGAGGTTAGAATAAGATTAACATAGCTTCACATAATTACACTGTCGCCACGGTTATTTTGTGTACTGTAGCATTTTAATCAAATGAGTGTGGCAAATGGGGTTCATTTAACTCTTCCAAATGCAGGAAGAACTACTGAAAAAACTTAGTACTTGTGACCTTTTGTTTGACAATGTCCAATGGCCCTTCTCATTATAAACTATTCAAGTTAGTGATTTTCCTGTTTGTAAAACATTGTTTGTTTAGGGAAAAGGAACTAAAAGAAAGTATTTTTGGCTAATCTTTACAGTATCTTTTTGGACAGTATAATGGGCAATAAGCAGAAAATAAGGGGCAGCATGCAGCTCTTGCCACAATACAGTTAATAGCCACTGGATTATTTCTTAGGGTTCCCAGAATAAAAGGAACAGGGGGAAATTCAAGTACTATACGCCAAAACACATTTAAAAAGCCATTTTGATTGTTTTTGTTCACAGCTGCAGAGAGTACGTCATACGTTGCAGAGGCCACTTTGATAGGCCTTTATTTGACCAAGACTCATGGGCTTATTCACTTGATTTCCAATTCAAGAGGGTGCTTCAGCTTGTGCTTGATTTCATAGAGCATAAAGAGATGTCAGTTTAAATGTGTGTATGAGCTGACTGTAATAAGGATCTTGAAGCGGTGTTTAGCTGTACAGTGTTTTAAAGATGAAATTTGGCAAATTAAAAGTAAAATAGGTGATAGTAAAATAGGTGATTAGAGACAGATATGTAAAATGGACAAGAGAATCATAATTCATAAGGTTTTAACACTTTCTCATAAAATCCTCATAGAGAAATTGATTAAGAACAAACTAGGTGAATGAGCAGGGAGGGAGGTGGAAAACTGGCTGAACTGCTGGGTTGAAAGGATTGTGATCAGGAGCACACAGTCCAGCTGGAGACCAGTCAGTAGGGGTATACCTCAGGGGTGAATACTGGTTTGCAAATGAAACAGAGCTGGGAAGAGTGGTGGATACACTAGGTGTTTGTGCTGACATTTGAGGGACCTTGAGAGGCTGGAAAAATGGGAAACCAGTAGACTCATGAAGATCATGAAAGGGAATTGCCAAATCCTGCCTCTGGTAAGGATTAAACCCATGATGGGAACTGACTGACTGGAAAGCAGCTCAGCAGAGGACGATCTGGGGGTCTTGGTGGCCACCAAGTTGACCATGAGCCAGCAATGTGCCCTTGCAGCAAAGAAAGCCAACAGTGTCCTGGGCTGTATTAGGCAGAGTATTGTCAGCCAGTTGAGGGAGGTGACCCTTCCCCTCTGCTCAGCACTGGTGAGATACATCTGGAGCATTGTGTCCGGTGCTGGGCTCCCCAGTACAAGAGAGACATGGACATACTGGAGCGCAAAGTGCCAGGAAGATGATTAAGGAACTGGAGCATCTCTTGAATGAAGAGAGGCTGAGAGAGCTGGAACTGCTGGAGAAGTGAAGAAGACAGAGCCAGACTCTTCTCAGTGGCACCCAGTGACAGGACAGCACAATCAGAAATCCACAAGGTTCCATCTGAACATTAGAAAAAACCCCACTTTTTCTGTGAGGCCATAAGAGTTTGCTCAGAGAAGCTGTGGAGTCTTGATCCTTGGAGACATTCAAAACCTGACTGGCCACTGTCTTGGGCCACCAGCTCTCACTGACCCTGCTCAAGCAGGAGGATTGAAGTAGCTAATCTGCAGAGGTACTTTCTTGTCTCAGCTATCCTATAATTTTGTAATTTAATGAAGAAGGTTAAATATACAAGAGGATATTTTAATTGCACTTCATTACACATCCACAGTGGTCTGTCAATAACATGGGAAAGTGTACCCACTTTCATGATTAAACTTCTGAAAACTGTCTTTGAATATTTTCTTAAATTTCTGGAATATATTCTCTAACAGTATGGAAAAAGCCACAATTTGGAGATATATTGTGGTCATGGAGATGAGAGAGTTAAAATAAGTATTCTGTGAACAGGATTTTCAACATTAAAATTCCAGATGCAAGGGCTATAGATTAGGTTATCTAGGGACCTGAGAAGCTGGATTAGCAAGAGAGGTTGCACCATTTCTCTGGGCTGCCTATTCCATGGTGAAGAATTTTTTTCTTATGTCCAGATGGAATTTCCCCTGAAGCAACCTGTGTCTCTGGTCTCTTGTCCTGTCATCATGCACGATGGTGAAGAGAGCACCTTTGTCTTCTCTATAGCTATTTTTTAGGTATTGGAAGATGGTGATCTCCCTGAGCTTTCTCTTCTGTGGGTTACACAAGCACATTCTCTTTTTGACCTCTCTGTGTGTATCAGGTTCTCCAATCCTCTCATCATCTTGGTGGCCTGTCTCTGGACCCTCTCCAATGTTTCTCTTTATTGAACTGGGGGAAATTAATTCAGTGTAACCTAGATGATGGGCGTGTTTCTTCTGGTTAGATTTAGCAGCATAGTAAGATTTTTCCAGATCTCTCGAAGGAACTCACATACCCAGTTATAAGTATCAAAATAGGCTTCCTAAAGTCTAAAGAGAAATAAATCTCTTTTTTATTGGATAATTTTTCAACGTAGTGCAGAAAGGAGTTAGTCACAAGTGTAATGTAAAGGATAACGGGTTTGAACCTATTCTGCCTGGAGACAAGGGCTATTCTGCCTTTAACTTTAATGGAAGGAAGGAATGACAGACAATTTTATAGAAGATATGCTGAACGGGGACTTTGCATAGTTGAACTAAGAAAATTGTTCAACCTCCTGTGAAACGCACACTGAAAAATAAACTCTGCTAAAGGCTGTTACAGAGGCCCCCAGGAGAACAGATATTTTTGCTTCCAGTGTGCTTCTTTCTAGCTGGGAGGCTGCTCGCCTACTTTTATATGGAGAATTGGTCTTGATATTTTTGTTGGAAGACATTGCAACTAGCCACAGCAAATACAAGCCTCACTGTGTGAGGTTTGCCTGCATCCCTCCCTTGATGACATTATTTTTGAAGGCTAAGACTCACCAGAACACTTCTAAGTTTCTGTACCAAATTTTTATAGGAAAACTTGAAAGCTGACAAGGAATCAAACATGAGTCTGTCTAGTAATCAGCAGTCTTAACAAGAATGCTATTTCCCTCCGGGAACATGGAGTGACTAGCCAGGATATTGCATTCTCTGTTTAGGTTTATGAAGATGTAGAGAATGCTAACCTTTTATCTGTGTCTTTGCTGCTAAGTAAAGAGATCATAGGAACTGATCCTCAGCCTTGAGTCCAGCGGTTTTCCCCTCCTCAACAAATTATCCTGAGAACTCTAGTGGGAATGGTCCGAACAGAGCCAAGAATTGTCCTCACATGATTGAGTGTTTGGTGCTTGGATTCACTCCCTGGGCCTCTTTTATTTAAAATATAGATGTGTTCCTTGAATTTAAGCTGTCTCTTCAGATTTCATATTTGTCAGTGGCAGTAGGAAAAAAAAGAAAGAAAAACGTTTCATCTGTTGGGTGTTGGATTCACGATGGAGCTTGGATCAGTCATTAACAGGCTCTAAGAAAGGTGTCAAAACTCCATAACAATATCTCCTATCAAAAAGAAACCAGTGGTGTTGGTTTATAGAAGGGAAGAATCTTTTCTTGAGAAAACAGCTTGTCCTGTTTGTGTGTGAGATCATTTGGTGTACCTGCAAAAGCTGTCCAGACAGTGCATTTGCAATCTATAGCTAAGAAGGAACAAAACTGAGAGGGCACCTTAGACCTTTGACATGTCTTGACTGGAGGTTTTTAGATACTATGGTGCGGATAAGACTGTAAATAATATCATTCCTGTTTTGATAGTTGCAAGTAAGTAGACCCAAGGTGATGGCATAGGTGAATGGTGGCTGCAGAGTGATTTTTATGATGTGCCATGCAATCTGGTGTTTTTCCTTTGCAAACTCTGAGCTCTTGGGAAGTGCAGCAGAATCTCACTTTTCAGTTGGAAGAATGCATCAGTTGTGTGAGTACGATCAGCTTGAAAACATGAGCTCTGACATTCAAGAACCAGGAGTGATGGGGCAGTTCCTGATTTTGAATTATAAAGGTCCATAGCAGAGGGAGTATTTTTGTGCTGTTGTATCCTCTGTTGGTCTCATTGCCGAGTAATGCTTAGTGAAGTGGCTGTTCCAAATCATACCCTCAGCCAAACCCATCCCAAACTCCTCTGTGAACAGAAGAAAGGGTTAAGAGCAAGTGGAGATGAGCCATGCTTGGCTTGCTGAACTGTACTGATGCTAGTCTTGCTTTTTAAAGGATATGGCTGTTCAGGAATGACCTGTTTACACCAGGTTCTGTCTTAACCGTACTTTGAATGTATTTTGTTATTTTCTTGTTACTTAGAAGTGGTCCTTAATATATTTAATATTTTTAGTGCCCTACAGATACCAAAGCAACGTTTGGGGTCCACCTTAAAGTAGTAGGAGACTGGACAGGTATGTAGAAAAACAATTCCTTTTCAGAGACAAATACCTTTATTTTAACTGTTATCCCTTTCTGGCTTCAGCACAATTGTACCTTGATTGTGGCATATTCTCACTGGAGATTACTCATGCTTGTTTTCCCAAAGTTGTTTTTTATTACGTTCTTGATGCAAGCCCTGCTTTATTCAGATGTGCATTTCTTCAGATAACATGTTTTTCCAACTACTAACAGATGTTCTGACTGCAATTCAATAATTTTCAATGTTCCTCTGTTTCTGCCTCTTTTTCCTGTTTTTTGGTAGCCTGCTGCCCCTGTGCAGTGCCTGGCCTCTGTGCGTAGTAGTCTCTGCAGAAATGCTGAAATGTGCAGCTCCCAGATAAGAGGATTTTCTTGCCAGCAGTTTGGATGGCTGCCAGGTTAATTAGCACCTATGGTACACTGAGATTACAGGTTCCTTTCTTGTTCTTCCATGCTCTTCCATTGCTCTTTGAATGTCCTCCAGACCAGGGGTGTAAGCCAGGATTCCCTGCAGACGAGAGTCGCGATTTGCTGCTCCCTGAGACAGCTGTATACTGAAGTGATAGTTGTCATTATTCCTTGGCGGCTGACTTTCTTCTTGCTTAACATAGCATTTCCTTGTAAGGAAGACAAATACACAGCACCATCTTGTTCATTTCTTATGGAGAAATGTTTTCCATCTTAATTTCTATCGTCTTGTGTTATTGTGGAACTGAGTCAAAGGAGCTTGTCGCCCTGAAAGGGATTAGAACAATTCAGGGAGAATAATTCCATGAATGTCTGTTGAACTTGTTGGTCCAGCTGCATACCTGGCTGTGGAAGTCGCTCAAACTTTTAACAGTCAAAGGTTGGGAGGGCAATGCCGTATGCACGCATTCTCTATAATCACCCTGATTTTCTGTTCTCGCTTGAAGTATAGGATGTTGGCCAGACAGAGGCAGATTATGGGCCTGATTAGCCTCTGGTCTGCCCCGGTATGATTGCTCTTTTGTTGTTAAACATCATTCCTACCTGGGAGAGGACGGTAGGCTATGGGAAAAAGTAGGGTGGAGAAGCGGAGTTTTCCAAAACAAGTGGCATCTTTGAAGTTTTCTGGTGGCCTCTGTGGTGCTAATTGCTCTGTATTAGCATTTAAATGTCATTCTCCCAACTCAGTATCTGTACTCTCCATTGAGAGACAGGTCTGCCCAGGTGGGACTGTATGAGATTGAGGACACTTTCACATTACAGAGACTGTTGTATTAGTTTTGCTGAACAGGGATATCTCTCCTGAGGTCAAATGTGCTGTCAAGAAGCAGGCGGTTTACCCAACCCTTTATGCTGCATCTGTACCGTGGAGCCCTGTTCTCACTCTGTCCCTTAAGCTCTGTGGCAGTTTATGGCCTCTAATCCGCTGACTGTTTGAGGAAGGATTATGATATTTGCCACATTCCTTATAATCTTTCTTAAGCATGCTCTAATGGCTGCTTCTGCAGGCAGGATATTGGGCTGGAGGAGTTTTTATGTGACATACTATCACTTGAGCTCTTCTCATGACCTGTTCTCTCAGCCTTTATCCTATTTATTCAAATTCCTTTTTGTATCACATTTTCACATTCCTGACAGCTTATGCCTGACACCAAAGAGAGTTAACAGAGAACACAATTACAAGTCTAAATTAAAAGGATGCAAGAAAAGTGCAGATATGTTGTGAAATGTAGAGAAGAAGTGGTTAGTTTGAGACATTTCTCCTTTTGTTGACTTCAGCTTCTGCTGCCTGCACCTGAGAGATGTGGTGAAGGAACAATTTCCTGCCATTAGCTGTAAGGACTTGAGGGGGATACACACTGCTGGCAAACTAATTCGGCAAGTTATGTTTCAGGTCAAGTCTCACGCACCGAGTTGTATGTTTTGAAAATTTAATAGAATACCTTCTGGCCTTAGTGACTTTGTTTTGTAGGTTGGGAAAGCAACTTCATGTTAAGAGACAAGATAAGGGGTAATAGAATTGTCAACTCCTGATGAGAAGTTGCTGGTAATGGGAAATCATTTATTGCCCATATCCCAGTGCATATCATTTTAGATATATAATGTAAGAAATCAAAAGGAGGGGTTTCTTAAAAAGGCAGTCACTCTAGAAATAATTTTTTTGCACATGAGCAGATATTTAGTAGATTTTCAGGTGATACTGTTACTTGCTTTTTAAAGCAATAATTTGAATAATGAAAAATGTAGGACAGAAAAAGCAGGGAGGAGAGGAAGAAAGCTCAGAAACAGTAGCTATGAGGCCTTTGCAAACCAAATGGTAATCCAGACCCCTAAGTGATGTATTTTTTGTGCCGCTGAAATCAAATGGTGCTATCTGAGCTTAGAAGAGCTGAGAACCTGCCCTTCTCAGAAGCAGATTTGGATAAAGGCACAACGTTCCCTCCCATTAGGTAGGCAGTGGCATTCTTCAGATAAATTTCCAACATAAATCTGGGCTCTTTCATTTCTCATCTATGTTATGGTGGTATTCATGACTGTATTGTGCATAGCTTTCATGTTTGTCACAGAAAACAGAGACATGCAGGCACTGGTATTGCTGTCTTGTGCCCTCAGATGCCTGTGTAGCAGATGCTTTCACCTGAAATACTTCCCATGGCTCCCTTTGTAGACCTCTGACCTGTTTATGTTTTTAGTTTAGGATGAGACAAACCAGGCCCCAAGAATGCCTTTTTCTCTTCACTCATTGTAAAGAAAGTCTAGATACGTACATCACTACCTCAGAGGTAGTTTAGTTAGACAATTAGTTGTGATTTTTCCCATGTAAAAAGTTCCTAACATGATTTTTCTTTCTTTTACCATGTGCACTGGGTATTGTGCATAGTGGAACAGCTATGATAGACCTTCCTAAAGGATGGGTTTGCTATAATGTAATGATTACTGTCCTTGTGCTGACATGTGATTTACTCAAGTCAGCGCCTATTGTATTAACAAAACATTTAGTGGCATTGTGGTTGCTCATATTATCAATGCAATTATTTTGTCATATTGCAGAGGTGAAACCTATGGCTGTAGACCACAGCTTAGTTAGCCTGTCAGGACATAGGCATCCAAGTTACGATGGGTTTGCAGTGGCTGATCGGTGCTCTGTAAATGTGAAGCCCTGCAGGCTGGATGAGCCCTGGGGCTCCGAGCTGAGGCTGCCTGTCTTCCTCAGCAGCTGCCTGGCAGCTATTGCAGCTGAGCTGGTGGATGGTGATTTTAAACCCTGCAGTAACGTTGAAGTCCCTGCAATGGCTCGTGCATGGGTCAGAGCTGTGAGGTCCATGGGTTAGCTAATGAGCTGATCTTGTTATTAGCCTCCCTGCTAAACACCTGTTCTGTTCTGCTTCTCTCATATCTCTGTGGTCGCCTGTTTCTCCTGAAGCTTTGAAAAAATTGTTGGCTTAGTATTTACAAAAGGGTTTTTTGAAAGTTTTTTTGTCCCACTTACTGTCTAGTTTGTCCTCAGTGTTGTCATCTATCAGCTTTATGCTTCCCCGGTCTGTGCTGCTGCCTCAAGTACTGCTGCTTGTTTAGTTTTAATGCCGACATTTCTTCTGGCACCTCCAGAGGGAAAAAGAGAGGCCATGGGCCATGCCTTGTGTCCAGCCACTTGACAGCAGTGAAAAAAAAAAAAACAAAACATGGCAGTGTATCAAAACAATGTGTCTCATTCACTAGACAAACTTCAGGGTGCAAGACAGAAAGTGATATTGATGATGCCAAAATAACAGACTTCTGAAGCCATGCGGCATGTTTTTGTGGAAAACAAATACACAGCACTCAGAGGTGTTAAGGCGAACTGCATGCCTTCAGGCAATAAAACATGCTCTGTTGCAGTGTGTTGCTGGTAGAAATTGATGTGGGACTGTGTTTGAAACACTGCTGCTGTTCTGTACTCTACAGAAATTTTTACCTGATGGTGACATCATCCTGCTGAGTAGTTGCATATGATCCTAGAGATGTTTGCAAGGCCTGTGCACCATCCTGAGCAGCATGGTATTTATCATGGGGATGCCATAAGAGCACATTGATACCACCCATTAAATGTGAGGCTGCTCTCCTGTTACTGAATGTTATGGCAGCAGGAGATGTTGATGTGTCTCAGCCAGAACAGACAGATTGTGGGGTACCAATCTGCATCACCCTACTAAACTCTAGATCTCATCAGAAAAATACGTATTTTTGATAATTCTTCCTGCTAGAGATGAGGATATACACGGTCACTAGGTCATTTAGGTACTCACTACCTTATTTTTAAACTGATGTGGTATTATGTGAATTTTTGTCAGATATTGTCATAGTCCTTTTTCTGGAAGGCCCACATTTGGAGCAGGAAGTTTCAGGGGAAAAAAAAAAAAAAAGCAACTGACTAACCAACCAAACATTTTTCAGTTAGAAATAACAATTTTCCAGAACATGGCAAAGGTATGAAAGCCCAGGTCTTGTTTAACTCCCTATGGACTAAAACCCGAGACAGCAAAGAGTACACCCCCCCTGTTTTCTTGTTTTTGAACAGACTAGAGTTTTAAGGGAGTTGTTTGGGATTTTGGAGGCTGACTAAGGATTTTTTGCAGACTCACCAGAAGAAAAGACACATACCTTTCAAGTGGCTCTGAAGGAAGTATGATCCAAACTTGCTGGGCTGGGAGGGTTTGTGAGGTTGGTCAGGAGTATCTACATGACCTTGTTAAGCCCTTGCAACTCATGGTTTCGAGAATGCCTGAAGCACCCCAAGGTTCGCTGTGCATTGCTGCGCTTAGCTGGAATTTATCAGCAAGAGTAGAAGCTAGCTAAGAAGCAGTATTTTATTTTCAGTAACCCCAACGATAGTTTTACAGATATTTAAGTAGTGGATCATTCAGTAAGTATCTACTGTGTTCTTAGATCTTGATTCAGACTGGTTGAATGTGTGAAGCAGAAGATGACAAGAAGGAATAATAAGACTACAAAGTCTGCCCATAGGATGTGACAAGATTGTTCCAGGATCACTCTAACTAACGGCTACTGAGTTTCTTTGAAAATATCTAGTCACTGGTGATGAACAGTCTGTCAACTCTTTTGCTATTGCCTCCAAGTCTATTTGATTTGGGCCCATTCTGTTCCATAGTAACACATATTTTGTTGTGTTTAGTTATTCCATGAGATTCCTGGCAGGGTGTAAAGGCGCTAATGATGTGGTGCTGTCAGTTGTTCCAGCAAAATCAACGCGTGGTTTTGGAAGCAGAAGACAGAGATGGGATAGATGTTATTTTCCTCTGTTACATGTTATGGCTACTGATTCTTATATTGTCAGTGAATCATACTTACACTTCTGGGGAAGATATCACAAGTAGGTGCTAAAAAGGTTTAATTGTGTTTCTTTTTATATAATTTGACATTAGTAATAAAAGTAATGCTGTTACATTACTGGGAGGTTAAAAAGCCTTAATAATGTAATTAGCTAAAGTGTGCCATAAGGAATACTAGTTTTATTCTTCGTTGCCATTAATGTTCATTAATTATTTTATTTATGACTGCAAACAATCTCAATAAAAGACAGGATTAAGGGA